TATATATATACTGTTTATTTACTATCCAACAATTAACAAGCAAGCACTCTTCCACCACATTATTTACCTTTTAATAAATAGGTCAAATATAGTACTAAAGTAGGGCAGCACTGTGGTGCAGTGGTTAGTGCTGTCACCTCACAGGTCGCGTTCCACTCTTTCTGTGTGGAGTCTGCATGTTCTCCTTGTGTGTGTGTATGGGTTTTCTCCCACAGAGAAACCTGTGTAGATTATGTTTTTGGTGCTTATTGGCAATACAACTTACACTGTTGGAAAGCCTGTTAATTTCCCTTTTAAATGGTGCCACATTTGTAAGGATTATGCATTTGTGGGATGAGCAGTAGAGCTAAGTATGCAGGCTGCACACATGAACAAACTCGCCAAGTCTTCTGTCATCTGCTGTTGCTGTCAACTCTTGTTTTGAGCTTCTGGTACCCCGGTGCAGCCAATCAGGTGCCTGATAAAAGATTTATTACCAAGAAGCATTGTTACAACAAATAAATAATCTACCATACACAAATGTCCTTACTTTTTGTTCTAAGGATATTTAACACAGTGAGCTAAATACAGTGTTCGACTTGACATGATTATCTTCTCTATGGTTGCTTCATGTAGAGCAGGTGTCTGGTGTTGCAAGTTGTATCTATCTGATCTTTTGACATCTGAACTGAGCTTAGTTGTGAATTGAGTCATTGTTCACCAAGTAAAAGGAAGTTTGTGTGAATTAAAAATATTTTAGCCCTGAGGTGCAACCCAGAAAACATTTCAACTATTTTTAAGGATTGTTTTTAAAATGAAATTTAATAGAAGCACCATTTAATAATGTGAAGTTTGTATGTGTGTTACAGGAGCTCTGGGGGAGTTTAGTGATGATGTAATCTGGGATGTTGGTCCAGGATCTTGGATCCTTTAGGGTGGATGTTTTGGTTTGAGTTTTTGGAAGTTGGGTCCTTCTCAAGACTGAACTATTTAGTCTCATCTTATTTGTCTAGTTTTGTCTCTAATTTATATAACTGTTAATTTTACGTACAAACAGTTAAAGTAACAAAACAAAGCTTTAGGCTACGCCAGTGGTTGATAACACTGCTTTGTCTCACAGTGGTCTGTTTTCTTTTCTTTTTAACTTATATTAATTGGGAAGTTTCAGTTGAGAAAAACTTATTTAAAATCAAAATGTCAGATCAGAAGAAAGAATATCTTGTGTTTAATACTGCTCACACCAACTCCTGTTATCTTGATCAGAAGACACTAAAACCAGAGTGGAGGTTTTCATGTTCATCACTGGTTTTTAGTCCTTATAAGGGAGGACTGCTGCAGTCCTTTGGCTTCTGTGTAATAAAATACTGTGTCATCGTGTTTCATTCTTGCTATCAAAGATCCTGTTTGGTTCTTTTCTTGACCCAGCTGCAGAATACGCTTCAGGTTGTTTTATGTAAACAAGGACTGGTAGAATACACAAAAAACAACTCTAGTGTGAAAAATATAGTCCTTTAAAGTCGGAACACACCCTCTGGTCCCCCGTTTTAAAAACTGTGGATCATCACATACTTCATCTTAGTCTCATTTTGAACCTTTGTTCATTTTTAGATGTGCCGTTTCCTCTTCCCGATCAGGTGCTGATTTGTCGTAACTACAAAGGGGACGTGGACATGGCAGAGATCGACCACTTCATGCCTTTACTCATGCAGCAGGAAGAGGAAGGCCTTATTAGTCCCGTGTTGTCTCACGGCACCGTTCACTTCATGTGGATCAAACACAGCAACCTCTACCGTATCCTCGTCTTTGAGTTTTACGTCACTTATTTACAGCACTTCTATACGCTGATGTGTTTTTTTGTCTGAAGGGAAGAACATTTAATGTTGCTCTGTGATCCTTAACTCTCTCTGTGCAGTTGTGGCCACCACAAACAAGAACTCAAACGCTTCTCTTGTTTACTCGTTTCTCTACAAAATAGTTGAGGTGAGTTTCAGTGTGATTAAAATATGCTTTAAATATTTACTCCACGTAGTCATTATAAAACTGGAATCATGCAGGTGTTCACAGAGTACTTCAAAGAGCTGGAAGAGGAGAGCATTCAGGACAATTTTGTGGTTGTTTAYGAGCTGCTGGATGAACTGATGGACTTCGGATTTCCTCAGACGACTGACAGCAAGATCCTGCAGGAGTGAGTTATCTTTACACAAATAGATTAGCAAATATTCTGCATTGCTGTTTTAAAAAAGTTACTTTTTGCATCACAGTATATAACTCCTCACCATCTCTTGCAGATACATCACTCAGGAAGGCGCCAAGCTGGAGGTGGCAAAAAGCAAAGTGCCGACCACGGTCACCAACGCTGTCTCCTGGCGCTCAGAGGGCATCAAATACAAAAAGAATGAAGTCTTTATTGATGTCATCGAGTCCATCAATGTACTGGTAAGATGACAACTCTCCTGTAAAGGTGCAGCGTGCTGGATGTAACAAGACTACCTGGAGCAAAATAAACTGATCAGTTTGTGCTTAGCAGTTTGTTAGCCCATTAGCCACTTCAGTAAACCAGTAATACACCATGTCATGTGTCTGAAAGCCTCCAGAAAATTAAACATTTTAACGCTATTCAAGGAAGATATTTAAAAAAATTATTATGAGACTCAAATGAGGTCTTCTATCACATGGTTTCTCAAGACATGTGGGTCTGGGGACCCCCCTCATAAACCCCACGCTGTTTTAAAGGATAATTTTTTGTCATTTCAACCCCTAAATGCCATGGGAAAATATATTTTTATTAAGTTTATTATGTTTGTTTTATCAGTTCGTTGTTCTCCATGCATTTTTAAAAGTAAAAGCCAAATTAACAATTTAGTAAATTTTTTTGAGGGCCCCTCAAGATACCTCTGACATACCCCTGGGGATCCAGGGACCCCAGTTTGAGAACCTCTTTTCTATCAAAGTGTGGAAAGTCAGTCTGAGTAAAAATCTGAATTAAACTAAAAGAAAATAAAAACTTTGCAGACATTTAAACAAAAATCATGTATAATCTGTTAGTGCTTAAAGTATGTGTTGGAGATGAGACTCGGCTACAAAAACAGCAAATTTTAGCTCCATTATTATAGCCCTTTGTTTGTGTTTTTGTTGGCTGTGGAAGCTGTCTTGAACTGGGATCACTCCAAACATCTATCAGGTGTAGATGTTAATGCTGTGCAGGTGTCTGAGTGCTCATTTTTTTCCCCTCAAGTGTTAACAGAAGAAACAAATGGTCTTTTGTTTCTTCAACATTTTTGTTTGCCAGGCAAGTTTGGAAAAATGTTTGGATGGCAAAATTCCTTTTCTCGAGTGAGACAGAGAAGCTACTGTCTGTGTGGTCGCCTGACCCAGAATATAATAAAAAGTCTAATTCAGTAATTACACAAGCTTAATTCCACAGCTATCTTTTTTTTCTAATAGTCAGCAACTAAGCTTATAAACACAAGTATATTTTATTACTTTTATGGTTAAAAATCTGTGAAATATGTCACCTAATGCTTCAAACTTTTCAAACCTTGGTATTTTCATTTTTTTACATCTCCAAAAAACTGAGACAAACCTCTTTAAAACACGGAATGATGCTGTATTTCACAAAACATTCCAAACAAAATTCCCAAATACCTTTTTAGGATCTTTAACTTTTCTGATTTATAAAATTTGAAGAAAATTGTTAGAAATGTCATTTGTACTTTTGCATGTTTTTAGTAATCTTGGCCTCCTACAGTTAAAATAATAATAATAATAATAATAATAGTTTGCATGTCAGTATCATGTTGTGTGTTTAGGTTTGCTTCAACATTTTGTTGAGCAGCCTAATTAAAACAAAAATAATTTAATCTGATTAACTGTAACCTGTTTTATTCCCGCCTTGTTCATTTGTGTTTCAGGTGAACGCCAACGGCAGTGTGATGAGCAGTGACATTGTGGGGAGCATTAAACTGAAGACCATGTTGTCTGGGATGCCTGAGCTGCGCCTGGGGCTCAACGATCGAGTGCTGTTTGCCCTCACTGGACGTACGCATGCAGCTTGTTTCACATCTACTTTAAAGATGTCGATGCTGTAATCTGCTTCAAATTTTTTGACAAAAACATTTGCTCCTGTTATGATCTTTTTTGTTCTGCTGATTGTTTTATAAATTCTAAAACCACAGTCAGTGTAAATGTGTTTTGTGTGTTCAGGCGACAAAGGGAAGACGGTGGTGATGGAGGATGTGAAGTTCCATCAGTGCGTCCGACTCTCGCGTTTTGAGAGTGACCGGACCATCTCCTTCATTCCTCCTGATGGAGAGTCTGAGCTGATGTCCTACCGTATCAATACTCATGTACGTTCCATTCATCGTTGAATTTATGTTGTTCGTGCAAACACAAGTTTGCATACTTGCACTGCGTGTAGAAACACTTGTTTTTATCTGGCAGGTGAAACCTCTGATATGGATCGAGTCGGTCATAGAGAAGTTCTCTCACAGCAGAGTGGAGATCATGGTCAAGGTAACAAAACTTTGTGAAGCACTAAATTTGTTTGTTATAAAATGTTTCTGACATAAAAATCTATCTACAATAGGAAAATGTTTATAATGTTTCAACAAAACCCCACTTACAGTTGAAATATTCCTTTATTCAAAACATTTTAATACATTTCAAAATGAGTCAAACTTTTTTGATGGCACGTTGTTTTTCACTTGATACTATTTCCTTGTCCTTTTTTTAGGCAAAGGGACAGTTTAAAAAACAATCTGTGGCAAATAATGTGGAGGTGAGGGTCCCGGTCCCCAGCGATGCTGACTCACCCAAGTTCAAAACCAGCACAGGTCATGCCAAGTATGTGCCTGAGAAGAACCTGGTGGTGTGGACCATCAAGTCTTTCCCAGTAAGAAATTCACCTGTTTTTTTTTCTGTGAAGACTTATGCTTGACTTAATCCTGATATATACTCCTAGAGAAGTCAGACATTGTGTCTTGCTGATGTCCTGTCTTTTGCGTGACCCCCTGACAGCATAGAGATGTTCCCACACCATCTGTTGGAAACTGTGGTGGTCTCTTCATGACAAAATAGCACTTCTCCTGTGTTAACGGCAGAAATACCAGATCAACATCTGCTCATATTGTCGCATGGTGTTGCTGACGTGTGCTGCAGTGGGAGAACTCGCYAGGATTTCCCCCCCACCATTTGTCTTTGAATTTGAATTATCCATGTGAAAAAGACCGTCTCACAATCGCATCAGTGGGATTCAGTGTGGTAGGTCTTATCGAGTATAATCAGACTTTTGTTTGTGTGTATCTTGTCCATGCAGGGAGGAAAAGAGTTTCTCATGAGGGCTCACTTTGGTTTACCCAGTGTGGAGAACGACGAGGCAGAAGGCAAACCTCCCATCACAGTCAAATTTGAAATCCCCTATTTCACAGTCTCAGGAATCCAGGTATGTGTGTGCAGTCAGTGTGTTAATACTCAGGAATCTGGGTCTGAGCTCTCTGTCAGGACGCGGTATAATTATGGCCTGCTGGCAAAGGTGGAGCATCTGTGGTTCATGTTTGTCTGTACTGTTGGCATTAAATCTCAAGAGTCACTGAATAGATTTTATTGAAACTTACAGAACATATTCACTGAGTCGACGTTTACAATTAACATCTAACTTAGTGATATTGAGCTAAAATTATGTGTTAGTAGCCGACAGCCATGCAGCATATTCAATAGATATGCAATATGACACTAATTTTAATAACAGAAAAACAAATGAAACTTTATAATTTCTCCAAATGATAATTTAAAACTCTGGCATGTAAGGTATTGGCTATATGCATTCTTTCAAGGAATGCTAGAACTTTATTTTGTTTATATGGTTTGTTACTTAAACACCTTAATCTGCTTCTGTAACTTTTCTCAGTTTGCAGGCTTTGCACAGTCAAGTCAGGTCCTGTAAGAGCTGTTCAGCTCACGTTAGGAAGCTGGGTTTTATTTACCGGTAGTCTGATGATTCACACTTCTGTTCTTGTCTCTACAAGTTCTAACTCTGCCTTGTTCTGTTAGGTTCGGTACATGAAGATCATAGAAAAAAGCGGATATCAAGCTTTACCCTGGGTGCGCTATATCACACAAAGTGGAGGTTAGTGAGTAATACTATACACTTTACWAGTATATAAACAGATGTCAACATGCCAAATAAAAAAACCTGACATAATTAATTGTTTTTTCACATTTCTTTTGCCTTTTCTTTTAGATTACCAACTGAGGACCAATGTATAAACATTTAGGGATGCTTCCTGACCTCCAGAAAAGCAACAATCACTTTTACTGCACTGACTGAACGTCTTTTAAAATGTCACTTGTTTTAATGTTAATTATCTTGTTTTTAAAAAGTTTTAGGAAATCTGTTTGAAAATCAATTTCAAGATGTGCTCTTACTCCAAATTATTTAAATAAATTAATTCCTCTGAAGCAATCTATTTAAATTGTTTTATCATGATCTTATTTTTCCTCCAGCGTTTCAACAACATATATGGTGTAATTTAAGCCGTCACTCTGCAAGTACACATTGCGCAACCACGGTCGATAAATTCCGCCTAAAATTAAAAACTTGCACCCGCCTTTTTCCCCTCATCGCTCCGGAGAAATACAACCCAAGGATGGAAAGCTTGATGAAGTGCCTTTGAAGACGCCAACGTATACGAATCGCCCGCTTTCTTCACTACGTGCTCCGATTGGTCACCTGTCTCTGTTTCCACAGTGACAGCATAGTAACAGCATCTTAACCCCGCCCATTTCGCCATATATGGAAGGACAACGCCTTGTGTGTGAGTTGTGATTGGTCAGCGTATGCTAACTCCAATGTTTGTAAATTGTAGACAGGGGACACCGCTGTTTGGAGCTCAGCGCGCAAATGTATTTTTTCATTGTTGACAAACTTTTCTCGTTTGAATTGTATTTAAAACTAACTGGGCTGTAGAAACAGCGGGCTGTGGATCTTGGCGACGCTCTTGTATCTTTCGGAACTGAAGAAGGTAAGCTTGGTGTTAGCTATTTAGCCTAAAGGCTAGCTGTCGGTAACCGGGTCGACTTGACATATATCCTTACGAGACAACAAATACGTGTTGAGAAGTTTGTTTTTTACTTGTATACGTAGCTAAAACGGCCTGCTGTTACCACTTTACACTTATAGACACAAAACAAAGCGTCAATGGAGAGCTCCAGCTTACGTTAGCCGGATGCTATAACGTTAGCCTAGGTGTAGCAAACAACCTTGCTGCCTCTTGTGTTTTGATCGCTTCATCGAGGAGCCAGTAGCTGGGGTTTGTTTCGTTTTGTAACTGGGGTTCTTGTATTAAGCAGGCAGGAATCGAGGATAATGGTCCTGAGACAGATGGACGCGGGGAAAGCTCTGACGGCGGCGGCAGCCAAAGGAAAAGCGGAGGAGGTTCAGAGGATCCTGGAGGAATGCAGAGTCCATCCCGATACTCTGAATGAGTTCGGCAACACTGCCCTACAGGTGAGCATTACTCTTCATCTTTACACGTGACAAAGGTTTTACAACTAGTCGTGATCCATCATCTGACACAAACCTTACTCTGATCATTTTAGTGTCTGCATTTGTTTAATCTTTGTTTTTCTACCTGGTGAACTACATGCTGCATATATACACAAATAACTTTTGAGTTTACATGCTGAAAATGAACTAAAATATAATGTGCATGCAGTTTTGTCCTAACATTTCAAAGTTAAAGGCCTTGTATTCCTTAAATCTGGGGTTTCTCAAGCCGTTTGGGTCTGGGGACCCCTTTAGAAGGGAAAAAAAAAAAAAAAACTCCAGAGACCCCCTCATAAAACCCATGCTGTTTTAAAAGATAATTTATTGTCATTTCTACCCCTAAATGTCATGGGAATATATATTTTAAGTTTATTATGTTTTGTTAGTTCATTGTTCTCCATGCATTTTTAAAAATTAAAACCAAATGAAAAATTTTAAGGACCCCCAAGATACCTCTCGCGGACCCCTGGGGGTCCTGGGACCCCACTTTGAGAACCTCTGCCCCTAAATAAATGCGTATCACCTGCTGTTTTTCATTCCAGAGTTTACGACTGAGCTCTTATGATGATGTAAGACAAAGAGTTGTAGCAATTTTTTGTCAAACCAGAGTATAATTGGAAATCTTAGTTGGTATTAGGAGATGCTACACTCAGAGTAAGGTTTACTAATCAAATTTTAGATCAGTACCAATATAATTATTACCCCAAAGTTTCATTAAAATTTGTCCAGTGGTTCATGAAATATTTTGGTAACACATGAGCGAGCAAAAACATTTTTATCCGCCTTCACGTTGAGGCAGCAAGTGATAAATACTGGTTTTAGTTGCTTGAAGCTGTAGTTTTTACTTCTGTGTGCATGTAATAATGAAGTAGCATTCATTATCATTGTGTTCATACATTTATACAATGAGTTAACCTGCACAATTATAAAAACTCAAACTTGAGTTACTGAATTTTAGGATTAAGACTTTGCTTAGCTATAAAATCTAAATTAAAAATATTTTTATTCACAGCCAGGAACGTCTACATGCAGTATATCTGTGTAAATGAGTGAATATCATGTTTAGTCATTTCATGTGCAGTCACAGTGATGAATGCATTAACTCTAAACTGTTTCAGCTCTTATTTAATACGCTCACTATTAAGTGTCAGAGTGATTCTGCACAATATCTTTAACATGCTATTATTGTGTGAGTTGGTAACATTTCATTCAAGTTAAATAGATTTTAGGAATTTATTTAGGAAGTTATGTAGATGGAAGTATTCTGTGGAGATTGTTGGTTTAAAGAAGTTATTTTACATGATCTGGACCGCACAAGTACTAAAACTCAAACTTCTCCATGTTTGTAATGTCTCCCACAGGCGATGATGATGGGAAACCCCAAAATCGCCAGTTTGTTGCTGGAAAAAGGAGCAAACCCGAACGTTCAGAACAAACACGGCATAGCGCCTGCCCACGACGCGGCGCGGACGGGCTTCCTCGACACCCTTCAGGTTCTGGTGGAGCACGGTGCCTCGGTGAACCTCCCGGATCAGAACGGCGCCCTGCCCATCCACATCGCCATCCGGGAAGGCCATCGGGAAGTGGTGGAGTTCTTGGCGCCCCTGTCTGACCTGAAGCACGCCAACGTCAACGGTCAGACGGCCATAGATGTGGCCCGAGCCTCGTGTGTTCCGGATATGATGGACTCCCTGTTTGCTCACGTTCACAGTTAGTGAGAGGAATCTGTGTAACTCAAACCTCAGACTTTTTCTTTTTTTGTTTTGTTTTGCTTCTATGCCTGGCAACTTGAATACATTGCTGTGTAAAGGATTATTGTGTTATTGGTAGTTCAGCGTTAATATGTGACACAGGACATATTGTCTTGGCAGCTTATTTTCAGTGGATGGGTGGCTATATACTGTAGACACCTTTTTGCACAGTGCAGTTTAGGCACTTTAAATTTACATTTTTTCCTGTTTTCCCATTGGGAGTGCACATTTGTAGATGGTTGTCCCCAGTGTTATCTAATTTTTGCATTACTTGGACTGTGTAAGAATTGTTGCAGTTCATACACATGTACGTTTCTTTTTTAATGACAAAAATTGACGCGGTGCACCCTGATTGCTTTGCATAGTTGTGTTTCTCAATTAGATGTAACGAGACTTTGAAATTACTCTTTATTTATTGTTAAAATAGTACTTAATATTCCTGTGACTTTGTAAATAGCAACATTTATTGTGATTTGTTGAAATGTTATTTATACAAATACCTTTAAGACAAAAGTGACATTACTCACTTTAATATTTGCAGAAGGAAGCACAAAATAAAGTTTTGAACTTGAAGTCCTGATGTTTTGTTTTTATTTTGTGTCAAGCTCTACAAGGACAAAAATATTCTTCCAGTTGAGCTAATGTCTATAGCTAAACAAGTCTGTTTTATATTAATTTTTAGGCTTAATACAATTTCTGCCTTAAATGTTTCAATTTGTCCCTGTTTTTCTAAACCAAACATTTTTGTTACTGAGCAAAAATGAGAGCAAAGACCATTATATGAACCTGAAAAATGGTTTTTAAACCACCTTTAGCCAGTCTCTGAGGAAAACTTTTCTCTACACACTGCAAGCTATGTGATTGTCACAGCTATGTCATTTACTACTGATAACGGAATATTAAACATGAACAGACTATCCCTTTAATAAACTCCCAGATTATAAGGCTCAAATATATTTCTTTGTAAAAGAGAGCTTTAAGTGTTCAATATTTCCTCAAGGTGATTTTGCAAGGCAGGAGCCATTAACAGCCTGGTGGAAGGGCCGACACAAAGAGAAGCCTTTTAAAAGGTCACGAAGATAACCTCTGGAAGAGGAAATAAAGACGGCCCTGTTCCGTCGGGACCAGGAGGTAACTTTGGCACAGTTTGCTGCTGTTCTCCGAGCTCTCGTGGCACAATGAACTGTTTTGTTCCCTTGTGTGCCACTGGCTGATTTCACCAGAGAAAACCGATGCGGTTCATCTGYCTGCACTGTTTGGAAACACTTCAGCTCACAGGTCTGAAACTTTGTGTCGAGTCATAAAATTACAAATGTTTTTAGGCATTTTTTGTCCCAAAGTTGACTGAGTGCCACATCCAGTTTCAGACACACATCCAGCCACTAGGTAGAGCTCAATAGTTTTTTTTTTTCTCCCTGAGAACAGTGTGGGTGTGTTGTGTGCAGTAGTACTTCCTGAGTAAACAGGGCTGCGGGTGTTTTGTTCTGCAGGTTAGGAAATCCTGCAGATACAAGCAAGGCCAGAATCATCCTGTTGCTCCTACAGGCACCTGAACAAACATTCAGCACATTTTAACTGAACTTTTCCCCTAAAATGAATGTTGCACTGCTGTTCTGGCCCGAAGCTGGGTGGTTGCAGAAATTCTGTCACCTAATCTCATTAATGAGCTGCGAAGCTGAATCACAGTTTCCCATTTCGGCTGTTTACTGCCTTTCTTCATGGCACAAAGGCGCATCAGGGCAATGTAAGGATTTATGAAATGGCATTCACATGAACTGCTGTGGCAGTCTGGAGAGTGCCTTTGTGTTCAAACAGCAGCCCACATCGATCTTGGCACTGAGGTCATGCAAAGAGCGAACTACAAGCAGGATATTAACTGTTAACCCCCATCAGGATGTCTGAAACATTCCTTCAACTGAAACATTATGCCTGTAGGAGTGCAGCCACCATAAAAAACAGTCACTTCCTTATAGGCCTGTGCTACTTTGTTGCAGTCGCACCTGTTTTGTTAACACAGGTGACACACTTGGCTGCCACCCTGACTCAGAGAAAAAGAAACGGGGTAATGATTGACAGGATTCTGCTGTTTGGTGTACGTTCTGCAGCTTTCTGGTTTAACAGGAGTGCTAAATCCTCTTCACATGTGCAATATCTAATAGGGGTGCACCAAAAAAATCATTTTACATCAGAATCGTGATTCCCATTAACAAAGATTCAGAACTGATTTAAAATGTCCCAAAATCGATTTTTATAAAAATAAAATAAAATAAAGCAAACTTGATGGCTGTCAGCCTCCATGGGATGACGTCATCCCACAGGTGCTTCTAGAACATATGAATGTGCAGAAAGCACCAAAACAAAGAGGAAAGTACAAAACTGGAGGAAAGAGAGATTCAACTGACCCTGTTTTCATTGAATGCAAAGATTTGGGCTCATTTTGTTTTTTACTGAATGAGTGTGAGTTTGACATGAGCGAGGTTTGCAAAATGAAGATGACGCACTTTGGGAACACAAAAAATGGGCTCACATCATCAGTTTTGAATGAAAAATCGATTTTGAATCTAACCATAGCCCCAAAAATCAGAATCGAATCAAAAGAGAATAAAAGATTCCCACCCCTAATATCTAACATGACAAGAAAAAAATTATCAAGTTGATCTACTGTTAGCTTGGGTTTTTAGTACTGAGGCATGTCTGAATTGACTGTTTAATGTCCTGCAAGTCAGAACATGAGCTAAAGCAGCTGAGGTTTGTGGGGTGAGGCTGAAATATGCACCGGGGACAAATACTTTCTCTACCCCTTGTGTTGAGGTGAAATAAACCTATAGAACAGCTTGACTACAGTAATCTTTATTTTACTGCATTATAAAATATTTTGCGTAAAAAAAMCCCGTAAATACATGAAATAAGGCAGTGGTCTGTATGGTCTGTTCTCTAAAATTTTGGTTCTTTAAGTTTTTTTTAAAGTTACAGAATTTCATTAAAATGTTAATGTTAAACATCACCTGAGACATAATACTTTAGCTTTTATTCTTTCTTGCTGTAAAAATAATGCCACGATACACATTTCATTCAGGTTTACATTTTCATACATGGATGAATTTATTTTCTTTCATTTGACTAAATAAAATAAAGCCATTATATCTCTCTGATAGGAGTTCTACACTCTTCATTTGTTTCTGAATCGGGACAACATGACCCAACAGAGTGGGTCAATCCAGTTTGAGATGAAAAAATAAAACATAAAAAAACATGTTTAACAAGAGGGGACATAAAAAATAGTAGGAGATAAACATCACGAGTTTGAGTTAAAATAAGGGCAATGAATGTTTTAAGGCCAAAGCTTACTCTGTGTGTTTTTATTTGTGTGTAGTACACAGTCCTTGTTTTGTTCAGTGTCTGATCTTAAATAGATCTTTTTCTCCAACATCATGTTTTCTATGTTAGTAAAACATGAATCCCCCAAGGAATGAAGTTACAAAAATAAGTTATAATACATTTACAGCACATATTTTTGTTCTTGTAGTAGAGATATGCAGAGATAATCCACAATCTGCCACTGCAGTTTTCAATTTTTGATTGATTGTGGTTTAGGTTACAGTTTTTTAAATTGTTTCTTACATATCTTATCCAACGGCCTGGTTGAATGGATTAACACTATTGACCAACATCATCATCTTCAAAAAAAGACAAGTCKTTGAAGCTCCTAATCGTCAGTTCTTGCTATGATTCATCTTCTTTTGTAAATCTAATGGCAGAAGTTCATACAGACTGTCCTCGACTATCAACCCACTGCGTCTCAGCAGAGGACAGTCTCCTAGCTCCACGGGTAGAGACTCCAGGCGGTTCCCTTTAACATCAAGTCGCACCAGCTGGGCCAGGTTGGACACTCTGGAGCTAAGAGATGACAGGCAGTTGTTCCCGAGAACCAGCGTCTTCAGTCTCTTACAAGAGAACAGCTCCTCTGGCAACGCCTCTAAAGAGTTGAAGGCGGCAGAGAAGAACTGAAGACCCTGCAGGATGTTGATGGCAGGGGGAAGAGACGTCAGCTGGTTGTGGGAGACGTCGAGGTGCCTGAGCTTGGTGCAGTAGAAGAGGCGTGAGGGAAGCTTTCGAAGCTTGTTCCAGCTGATGTCGATCATCTCCAGCGTGGACAGCTTACTGATGTGTTCGGGGATGTAGGTGATCTTATTGTGCCACAGTCGCAGCGTCACCAAACGCCGGCAGTGCTGCAGACTCAGAATCTCCTCCACAGTGGTGAGTTTGTTGTCCTTCAGGTCCAACTCCTGCAGATTGCTCAGGCTGAAGACGGCGCTCGGGATGCGTTCGAGCTCACACCCGGAGAGCTCTAATGAAACTAKGGTTGTTAACTTCTTCAGGCTGCTGAACGCTTGGAGCTTGACCCCTTCGTTATGAATGATCAAATGCTGTAGCTGTGAGGCCAGATCCGCCACACTGGGTGGGATCTTTTTAAGGTTGGATCGGAGGGAGAGGAGGTTCAGATTTTGGAGGTCTCGCAGGGATTCCAAAGTGGCACCCTTGGATACCTCACTGGTTAAAGGACCAGAGAGATACAACTCCTCGAGACCATGAAGCGTATACATCCACCCAGGAATCTCCTCTGGATTCTCAAAAGTCAGACGTAGAACCTTTAAATTCTCCTGGAGGTGGTTCAGGGCAGACTGCTGAAGCTTTGCAGGAGTGTAGATCAGCGATAACTCCTGCAGAGAGTCCAGCTTTATCACTCCAGCTGGGACGGTAACATTTTTCACTTGCTCCAGCTTGAGTGATTCCAGTTCAGAAAGCTCAAAAACAGTGTCAGGAAGCCCCGGCAACATCGAAAGATGGAGCTCCAGACGATCCCTGGAGTTCTTGGCGAGCCGGGCGCGCAGCTTTTTGTTGGTCCACTCATAGTTGAGGTTGAGCTGATGGAGGCGGCTCTCGCTGACCTCAGAAAGAAACACTGCAAACCTTTTGGAGTACAGAGGATCGTACTGGTCCACAAGGTGCAGGAGGAAGGCAAAATCATTCTTCATATCTGGTATGTCGTTGATTCCCGTCTCCAGTCGTACGTGCTCAAACGAGTACTCCTTCAGAGGTCGGTGGAACACCCAGTAGAGGGTGTAGATGCACATGACTCCATACAGTCCCACAAAGCAGATGTAGCAGTAGGCCAGCTTGGAGAACAGGTGGGCTTTGTTGTGGTTACAGCAAAAAACACTGAATCCAGTCAGCTCGAGAGGAACGTAACAACGTACGATTGTTTCAATGTTCTGCACCAGGACCGCTGTGTAGACAATGATGATCAGGAACTGGAGAACCTTGAGTGACGTTTGCAGCACATACATGAGATACAAGAGGTCCGCCTCCTCCACATGAGTTCGAAACTTCTTCACCTTTTCAAAAAGAGCTTTGGCCTGCTCCCCCTCCTTCTTGTCCAGCACAGAGAGAGTCGTCTGAGGTTCTGCGACTTTCTTTTCTGGATTGGACTTGACCGAGGCAGACCGCAGGAGCCCTATGGTCTCCTCCTCGTCTGCTCGCTGTTCTACCGGATTCTTTAAAACGGTGTTGCTCCTTAAGATCACCAGCTTCTCCTCGCCTCTTTCCTCTGAAACCTCATTCAAGGCCCTCGTCGTCCAGGGCGAGTCAAAGCACTTGGTGAGGATGGAGACAAACAGATCGATTTTGGAGGAGGTACCGGGGAACTTAAACCAGAAGCTGCTCGCCACCATGAACATCATGGTGTGGATCACGACGAGGTAAGGGAAGTACTTTGCATACCAGTGTACTTCCCTTTCATAGCAGTAGTGGTTGATGAACACATACTGGTGGATGTCCAGGTTGTTCTTGCGACCAAACACCTCCTGAAGGATGGGGTTTTCCGGCTTGTCCGAAGCACTCTGCGATGTTTCGTTCTCCCTGTAGCTGCGGATGTGGCTGCAGTCGATTGCATCCGGCGTTGGGCTGGTGAAGTGGCTTGGCAGACATGCAATTTTCTCCTGGGTTAGCTGTTGAAAAGAAATTAATGTGATGAAAATCAGATTAATTTTATACTAGTACTCACTCGAAATAATACTAATTGACCTGGACTACAATGGTGATAACATTTCTCAATATAAAATGGTCCTATTTAAAACTCTGGCATGAAAGATAAACATGCTTTATTACTGTTTAATTTCCTATATTGCTTTTTTAATAAGGGAGATATGTACTGTATAATAAATGTGATGTAAATTGTATTTTTAGTTGCAATAGAAAATAAATATAAAATAAATTGAGATGAGATTTAGTCAATTCCATGATATTAGACAAATGATACTGTGCAAAATTATGGCATGATTAAATTTTTCTACACATTCTGTGCCTCAAATGTGCCTTTTGGCACAGTCTGGTACTGTCAGTAAGAATTTAATCTGGAGCATGAACAGCAAATATCAACTTTTAATCTGTCTAAACAAAACAGCAAACAAGAAAAACTGCAATTATATCACAACTATAAGGCAGAGGGTTTGTAGAAGAGTGCATCAGCATGATGGATCGGTGGTTAGCACTAATGCCTCACAGCAAGCACGTCCTTTCTGCGTGGAGTTCTCCGTGTGGGTTTTTTCAGGTTTTCTTCCACAGAAAAAGTAAACATGCATGCTTTTATTTTATTAGATTTATTATTTTTTTTACCTCTCCTGCAAAAGAAAGGTTCTCTCAGGCAGATTTGCCTGGTTAAATAAAAGTTAATGAATAAACAAATGAAAAGTTGTTAAAGGTATTAGGTCAGATCTGTGTGACAACATAAACAGTCTCACATCATTGTGGAGAACAATGGACACACACACACACACACACACACACACACACACACAAAAAGGCAACTGACTACTTTCTGAAAGTCTGGTTGTAATAAGTTAGTAACTTTTGACTTTTCAGGTTCCTCACCTGTATAGTACATCCAAAAACTCCAATCATGAGCATAGCGATGCACAGGTACTCGGAGAAAACATCCCACCAGGGCTTCAGAACCCGAAACCTGGAGTTCAGCTCGGTTCCGAGACTTTTAAATTCCCCCACAGGGATCATCCTGCTGCTTCGCAGCCCTGCTGAAGAAGGAGGAAGACTCGGGTTCAGGTGAAGCTTTAATTAAACACTCAGATCCCACGTGGTGTCGGAGGTCAGCTTGGGTCTCTGAGGCCAAAATGAAATGAGAACTGGACTCTCAGGTAGAAAAACTGGTCGGACAAGAACAATTAACTCAGGAAACTCTGACAACTCATAGTTTAACATGTCTTTAAACTCGTTTATTAACCGCGGCAGCATATTTTTATTTTTAATTTAGGCCTATCAGTTTAACAGAAAACCTAAAAGTTTCTGCGTCATTACGCACGCGCCTTTACCCAAAACAAGTCATAAAAAAGTTTGAGCCGCATATTCAACAACTTGTTAAACTAATAAAAATGTTTAACATTTTAAGTAAGTAGAGGTGAGAATAAGGAGCACAGCAGAAAGGTGAGGCCTTACCTGCGTCCGGACACGTCCTCTGTGTCCGGCGATACTCGGCTCACTCTGGCTTCTTTTATTTTTCATCACCTCAGGAGAAACACACCTGTGTGAAGGCGCCGAGAAACGCCCCGCGACATCCGGTGAAGACTTTCAAAGTAAAACTCCGCCTCACCCATACCTGAACAGGTAAGGACTGATGCTCTTTCTTAGTAGACTATCAGCTCTGGATTCCATCACTACACACACACACACACACACACACACACACACACACA